GCTGCTTGTGCCACTGCTCCTGCCTTGGAGCAGACCCGCACCAGAGCCCATAAACCCCCGGAAGCCGGTGCGACTACCACCTTGCAACAGAGACGGGTCAGAGAAGCCCACCCCTCCGTCGTCGTCACCCGCCCCCCCATCCCCCCCCTCTCCCGCTCCTCCTCCTCCTTCTCCTCCTCCTCTTCTTACCCCTCGCTCCCCTGCACCCAATCCGAACGGCTCACTGTAGAAATCCGAGAATTTACCCGCGGGAGACAGGCCAGAGCCCGATCGGACAGCAGCAGTGGTAGTGGTGGGGTGGGGGTGGGGTGGGGGTGGTGCTGCTGATGATGCTGTCGGGACGGTGGCAGTGGCGATGGTTGTTTTCCACACTGCAGGTGTGTCGCCGCCCCCCACTGTCAGCAGTGGCAGTACCAGCAAGGGCACCAGCAGCGGCAGAACCGGCAAGAGCACCAGTAGAGCAGCAGTAGGGGCAGCCGGAGGGATAGCAGCAGAAGCACAAGGGGAAGGAGGAGGAAGAGGCCTTGGCGCGGCGGAAAACGGGGATACGGGTAGTGCATCGAAAGAACCCTCAGTTTCCAGGCTAAATAGCGCACTTCCCCCTCCTCCACCACCACCATCCCGTCCTCCTCCTCCTCTTGCCCCTCCGCCTCTCCCACCCCCCTCCTCTCCTACTCCCTCACTCGGGCCAAAACTCATCCCCGTTATAATCACATCCCCGTCACTCCCAAAACCCGCGCATATCCGTTCCAGAGGCCGTCCTCTGCCTGCAGAACTGCCTGCGGCCGCCCCTGCCCTCCCCACCCCCCGCTATAGTCACACGCCCCTCCCCTTCCGATTCAGACATCGCAGCAAGGGGGTCTAGAGCATACGGCGAGGTGGACGGGGAGAGGCTGGAAACATTAATAGGGGAAGTTCCCCCAGAAAGTGTGAACAAGTCTCCAGGTGTGTCAGGGCGGGATGAAACCGCTATAAGTTCCCCCGATTTGCTTTTTGGCGCTCCAAGCGTTTCTACAGGGAAATGTGGATGCTGCTGCGGAATCCTTCCCCCTTCTGCACGGACTCCCCCCGCTTCTCCGCCCCTTCCGCCCAACGCACCTTCTCCCGCGCCTAGAAGCGCGGCCGCTGCAGCAGCCACGGAGGCGGAGGCAGAAGCGGAGGGTGAGGCGGAGGCAGAAGCGGATGGTGAGGCGGAAACGGCGGCGGGGGCAGTGCGGGGCACGTGAGGGTGAGGGGAAGCGCGGCCGAGTCGATTTGCGCCGTCTCTAGGCGCTGCACGACTGCGCGCCAGTCGTTCAGCGGGAGAGGCGCGGCCAGGCGGAGAAGAGACGTCTGGGGAAGGGCAAGGGGGCGTTGGGGGAGCGGAAAGGGGGAAACGGGGAGGGAAGACAGTCGATTAGCAGGAAGAAGGGGATCGGAAACTCGTCGTTCGTTGGTCGTCAAGCGATGGTGCGACACTCGCCAAGCGCCAGCGGAAAGCCCGCTACCAGGCGGGAAACGGAGCATTTGGGGAAAGGCGAACTCGTTTTTTTTTTTTTTTTTTTATCGGAATATTTTACTAAGGGGGCTGGACGCGTTACACTCTAGCAAGTTTCGAAATACCGCTAACTGATACGCGCGTGATCAAGACTCAGGGTAGGCTTGCTCGTAGGAACGTGGGTGGGGAAACTACGACAAACTGGGAACACCCGGCGCGTTGAGAGGAAGGGTAATGGCTACTCGGGGAATTCGCTCTATCTCCAAGAGCAGTCTGTCTTTGAGCGCAGCGCTCACGTCGAACGACATTGGATTAAGGAAGGATAGCACGGATTACAACGTCGACAAGAACCACGCACTGGAGGAACAAGAAGGCGACAGGGAGAAAAATAAAACAATATTTTAAAAAGGAGACAAACGAGATGCACGAACATCCAGCCATGCTTCCAAGAAAAAGAAAAAGAAAATAAAAAACGAACCTTGGAGTAAAGGAGAGCAAACACATCACATACTTCCAATGGAGAACCCACCGACAGCAGCTCGTCGGGCGAGTAGCCGAGCGTCTTAACCGCTCCTTTGCTCGCGTGGAGGATCGCGCCGTCGGTCGGCCGCAGCACGAACTGCACCGAGTGCGAATGGCACACCACCACTCCCATCGTCGACACGCCGCCGCCGGCGACAGTACTACCCACTCCGAGTCTGACTACTCCGAGTTTATTCGGCGTCGGAACCCTAGCAGTCTCGATCCCCACGCCATTATCAGGCACGCCGGCGGCTACAGTAACTCCGATACCGTTTCGATCTGGGAGTCGAAACCCTATTCTCGATTTCGACGCCATGGTCGGGCGTGAATGGGATTCTAGAATCTCCTGAGACACTAACGGGTGTGACATTACCGGGAGGTGACGACGAGGTGGACGTATTTGGGTAAGGGCTGCCGAGTTTCGGCGCGACGCGGGACGACAGGGTTGTTGGTGAAGCCGGTCGTTTCGCGCGCTGGTGGTGATGCTCATGCTCTTGCTTCTGCTGCTGCTTCTGCTGTTTCTGTTGCTTCGCCTGTTGCTGCTGCGAGTTTTTCGCGCGTGATAAAATGCCATTTGAGGGAGCCATGGCAAACCATTACCTTAAGTACTATTTTCGCGTTTAGCGGGAAGCAGAAAGAAGAACCGTCGATACTGAAACCCGGTCCTAGACTAACTAACTACTACTCCTCAGACTTGGGGAAACATGCTCAGGTGGAAATGGAAACATGCTCGACACAGCCTACGGAACAGTCGATGTTGGGGAAGATCCCCCAAGCGATTGTGACTTGAGGATGAGCGAGAGTGAGGAAGCCTATGGTACACAACACGCGGACCGCTGGAATTGACAAGAAGCGAAGCAGCCAGGAGAGGTAAGTGTAAGCAAGAGCAAGTGGCACAAACACGCCAAACAGCAGAGAGTGCCTTGAGGAACAGCAAGCAGGGGAAATGGATGCCCTTGGGAGGAGGGGTGGTTCGGCTTGGGAGGCATGGATTTTACCAAACATAGCCGTTGGTTGAGACCCTTCGTTGTTGGAACATTTTGGTGTACAGTAAAGAACTGGAGACCGATATCCTGTACAGTAATGAGTTTTGGATGGGGTGGTCCTCCACGCTGCCGAAAGGGGCATACGATGAAGATACACTCACCGTGATGTGAAATTACCGTTCTTGGAATGGAAGCGGTGGTTTAGTTTCTTGACGTGGTGCAAGTGCTGTCTGCTTTTTTAGAATTCTCAAAAACACTCTGCGTGGTGCAGGTGCTGTCGCAACCCACCCCGGCCCAGCCCAGCGGCATCACAAACACAAGGGAGGGAGGGCGTGTCCAGATGGGTTGGGGTTGATTCGAATGTAGAAAAGAGATTCCGTCCTTGGCCACCAGCGCGAAAGGTTTGAGAAGAAAGCGCTGGTGGAGGGCTGTTTCGACCCGGAAAATATGCCACAACTGAAACGGGCGTAATGGTCCCTGACTCGAAGGGCCAACTCCAGCCCAGTGGGAGGACCCGGGACTTACCTGTCGCGGTTTGGAATTACAGTACACGTCACCCCAATTCGTGGATCTTGTTGTCCCAAAACGGTATGCGACCTTCGCGAATAGCCGACCACTGGTTGCCAGATTTCGCACGTCACCCAAATTATGACGATTCTTGTCCCAACACGGCTATGCGACTTTCGCTTACAACACTTGATCGCATGGTCAGCATAGCCCGGTTACAAGTGTGCAGTTGTAACTTAATAGTTGCGGGAGCAGGAATTTGCTATCAGACGAGTGCTTCAGACGAAGCCGTGTTCTCGAAGCGAAGTTACCATCGCTATCGCACGCTCGCAGCTGTCGCACGTTCGCGTCGCAACCTCCACAATTTCGCAACCATATTGCGACAGCCCCTCATAAAGCACAGCCGTCACTGGTTGCATAGTCATTGTATTCTCATCATCACTGCATTGGCCATCAATATTGTCGCCTCGCCTTCACTTATACCATCGTTACAGCCACCATCGTTATTGGGTCACCGTCACATGGTTTCGGCTTCTAAACGACCGATTCCAGAGCCACAGGAGTGAGTTTCCATGGTGAAATCCCTGAATGCTCCGCCTCCATTACGGCGTTCCTGGTTGGCTCGCTGAGTGATTCGCTCTATCCCGGCAATCCCTGAGTGATTCGCTCCCAGTCAGCCATTCCCACAAAAAGTGTTGGCTACCTAACAGCGCGAAGACTGCGGTTACCCTGTTTCGTAATCGGCAATCAACATCTGCTACTCATCCCACTGCCGTCGCACGACGTCTTAAAACACCTTTCTTCCCAAATAGCTCCACTCCTCTCTCTCCGACCCTCTCACACTCGATAATTATCTTCGAATTCTAAAAAGCATCCCAACGGTTCCACTTCTCTCTCTCCCTGTGCAGGATGGTAGCAATATCGCTGATAGACATCAGGAAGGAGTTACAGTGCCCTATATGCCTTGGTAAGAGCGGCAGCTACAGTGCCCCATATGCCTCGGGAAGAGCTACAGCTACAGTGGCCCATACGCCTTGGTAGTAGGAACTACTGTTTGAATTGATGTGTCCTTTCCTCCGTGTACGTGTGAGCGTTCTCGGCAGTGTCAATATACATCTCAATCGCTCCCATCCTGGCTTGCTTTATTTCCATCTGCATGGCATGTGCGTGTCTCACACGTGGCGGCCTCCCATTGGCCGACAGGCATCATCAGGCGGACGCGCACAGTCATGGAGTGCTTGCACCGATTCTGTGGAGACTGCATCGACAAGGCCATCAGGCTCGGGTGAGAGAAATTGAGGCTCGGGGGACAATTAGGCTCGGGTGAGATTCAGGCTTGGGTGAGATTTAGGCTGGGTGCAATTCAGGCTAGGGTGTGATTCAGGTTCGGGTGAGTTCCAGGCGTTATCAGTGGGGCGCTTGCACTGCTTCTGTGGAGAAGACTGCATTGACAACAAGGCCATCAGGTTCGGGTGAGTGGGAGGCTCGGGTGAGTGGGAGGCTCGGGTGAGATTCAGGCTCTGTTGAGGGGCAGTGCTAAGATAAGGGCAGTGAGACAGAAGCTTAGGTAAATTAATTGTAGTTCAATCCAATCGACACATATACCCTCCCTCCCCACTCCTGCTTCAACGCTTGCTTCCCCATTTCGGCAACAACGAGCCAGTGGGCAGCAGAGCAGACAATCCCTGAGATGATTCCCTAATGGGACGCATACTGTAACACCCCCTTCCCCCCCCCTTCCCCAACCCCCTTCCCCAACCCCCCTTCTCCTCCCCTTCTCCTCCCCCCTCCCACTCCCCCTCCCACTCCCCCTCCCACTTCCCCCCCCCCCTCTCTCCCCCTGCCAGCAACAACGAGTGCCCCTCGTGCCGCGCTCACTGCGCCAGCCGAAGGTCCCTGAGGGCTGACCCGCGCTTCGATGCACTGGTGGCTGCTGTGTTTCCCAACCGAGACAGGATCGAGAAGGAGGTAGTTGTGTTGGAGGGAGGGGGGGGGAGGGGGAAGGATGGGGAGTTAAGGTGAAGGTGTAAACCCAAGGTGCAGGTCATGCTGTGATGGCTGACCCGCACTTCAATGCGCTGGTGGCTGCTGTGTTTCCAAACGGGGATAGTATCGAGAAGGAGGTGAGATGGAGGAGTGAGGGTGGGGGAGGTAGCCTTGTGGAATACCAAGAAGCTGGTAGTGTTGAGGGCTGACCCGCGCTTCGATGCGCTGGTGGCTGCTGTCTTCCAAAACCGGGGAAGGATCGAGAAGGAGGTGAGATGGAAGGAGGTAAGATGGAGTGATGGGGGAAAGGGATGAATGGAGATTCATGTTAAGAAGGGGTTCGAGATGTCTCAAAGCACGTCTCTTGTCACATCGATGATGGCAAGAGAAGTCGACTTGTAATGCCTGTTCCTGGTCCCTTTCATCTCGTTTCTGGCCCAGAATAGGATCTGAAACGTGTTGGTCCTTTTTTGCGCACGTCTCTCTCTTTGCCACAAATGGGATACTCGGCTTTGTGCCTTTTCTCATCGCATCAAGCACGTCACACTCTTGAGGCGCCTAAAAAAGGGTGACTCAGCTCTGAACTGTTTTCATTTCAGACTCAAAAATCACCGGCGACTCAAAAAGGGTGACTCAGCTCTGAACTGTTTTCGTCTCATTAAGTGTCACATCGTCTCCT